ATCTGAAGAAGTGGAAATTTGAAGACAGGGACCGCGATTCACACCACAGCGACTGATTTTCGAGGCGGTGAAAACCACCAAGAATCACAGCGGGGATGTGGGACTGGTTTGCCTACGAAAAACGGTCTTAGATAATCCCAGTTGACATGTAACTGTTTGTGCGTCAATGCACGTAGATTCATTAGCAAAAACAGAGTGTGGAAATCCCAACCCGACCAAAGTTCACAAAATCCCTCTTGCTTACACAACTGTCGTAACACACAGAGGACGACTTTCGAGAGGGATACTTACGTGAACGGAACCGGAACAACTAGACCCCAAGCCGGTTCCAAATCCATGAAGGTTCTCCCAACACTTGATGACACAGTCTAACACACAATCCCTCGGCCGACACCTAACAGAGATTAAGCTTAAATTAGCTGATTCGTTCTCCTTCCGCCTTAAATCACGACAAACCCCATAAGCTATTCACTTGACCTGACGGAGTTGATGTGTCAAAAACGAAACGTTGCCAAGCAATAAATCTACCAACTGTCACCAACTTTTCTGTAAACGATGACTACTGAGTTGGTTCCAAGCGTTTTTTAGAAATTCGATAACTTTTTATCATGTCAACGGAGATAATAGGCAGTCTCTAAGTTACATATTAAGTTAAATAGTTTGATTCCAGCGCGACTTACATTCTGCTTATGTGGAATTAATTCGCAAGGTTGTGTAGAACTTATAGTTCTAACCTTGCCTCAAGCAGAAAGTTTAAAACTGTCATTTCATTAGCTATGGGACACGACGAAAGCCAACGTGAACACCCAAGAACATGGCACTGCAGAACTGTGTCGGATGCAAGTTCCTCTGAACCTCAAGCTAAACTTTATCTGGCATGCAACGGCAAGCTGTACAATGTTGCTAGACATTATGAACATCATGTATATCACGCAATTTCGCTCATGACTGACACTAATGAATCGCTTGGGGCTTCAGATTATAACACGAATAAATTTTTCCGAATATCTGTTCATACCTTTCTAATAGCAAAACTTATCTCTTGTATTTTCACAAACCTTGAGACACATTTGTACCGGGGCTTTATAATTACCCAAGAAAAATATTTTTTGAACATCAGGACTTCAGAATCCGATCAAGTTAGTCCGCTAGACATTTCACTACAGGCCATCAAACTAATCACAAAAATGACAATAGTCTGGGCTTTTTTATAAAAAAGAGATACAGAGCAAATGTAAGAAGACGTTGTCAGGGAACTGACTTAATGGTTTCATTCAAAAATCACTACTATAAAAGATTAAACCCTTCTGGCACTGTTTCTTACCTATCCAAGTTAGCGGGAGAACATACCCCCTTCCTATAAGAGTTTTTCGAGCGAACAAAGCATGCACGAAACAAACGTAGAGAAGAAGTAAAAGCCTCTATCATTTTGCTTGTGTTGAGAATCAAGAAGATTTGTGCATTCACTTTCAGTGACGGGCAAAGGCTTCACTAAAGTTTCAGATTTCTGCCAATGAAAAGCTATCGTGCAGTGTAGTTCCGAAACTGGAAGTTTTGAGGAAGATCCTGAGTATGGTGAGGTCTTTCGTTGAGCTGGAAACAGAAGGTTCTAATCATGAACGAAGGACGAAGTCTCAACAATTGTGAAATTAGCTAAGACGACTATATCCAAATTTTGGCCTTCGTAAGAAGCTCTCTTTGGACAGATAACAGTCTAAATGGAGGCAACACAACACCAATACACATGTTGTTCTCCCCGTCGCGCACACCAGCTAAAAGCTTTCAGCTGTTAAGAGGAATGTCACTTTTCACTTAGGATTCGAATCTTTGTACTACCTACGGTCATAAGCTAACACACTCGGCTTAATGGTGGACATTCAACTCTCATCAGCAGTAGTATATATTTGGTCCCCACAAGCTCTGTTTTCCACATACCACTCACTCGTTGAAGCATGCGCTAACGGATCACCTACCGCCAAGTTCATTTAGACGATTGCCGGTTTCCAGACAAAAGGATCTAGCATTCGAAAGACAACTGGTGAACGGTAAATGCTACCCGAAAGACTCCGTGAATTCTAAGAGGCGATAATTTTTACAGTTGCGACCGATTATCGCTGATCAGAGGAACGTATGAATGACGACAAAAATTAAGTAGAGTAATCGGACTTGCATTTTCCTTAGTATACTTGATGTATGCAGTGTGACTTTCATGAAGGAGAAACGTGGTGAAAAATGAGAACGGTACAACCGAAATGTGGCTGCCACCTACTAGAGCACATCCGGTCGAAAGATTCGTATGAATGTACATTTCCTATAATTTGTTGTCACCTCAGACCAGCAGCCACATGCAACCTTGAATTTTTGGCCCAATAAGATTGCATTACAGAAGTGCAAGGGGAATTATGGTCTGTGTAAACTTTGTTTTGTTCGTGCTGGACAACGATAGACTGAAGAACGTTAGTCTGGATTACTCGTTGCCCTGTCTTTAGTAACATGCTTGCAATACTACTAATGATCTAACGGTACCCAGTGTCACCTACTTTATGACAAGGTTGCAAATCGCATTGAAACTAGATTGAGTGGGCGCGAAGCACTTGATTTATTAATCGTCATCAACGTCAACTAAGGCAGGAAAAGTAGTGAAATAGGGAGATACACTCATTTGCAAATCAATTTGGTTTTCACGGGAGGCTCAATTGAATCTCTCGTTTATAATGCCCAAGTATGATGGGTACAAGTAGGTCATAAGGTTGACGGAGATCCGGCGACTGCGCCTACTTGATGATCCCCAATAAGGGCAAAACCGGTCGTGGACTGTCGAAGAGTTTCCAGCAACCTTGTGAGTAGTTTTCTCTAGTGAAATAGAGCTTTTAGAACAAATCGCGACAAAGAAAAAAATAAATATTTTCCCCATACAAATGTTTGCTGACTGTAGGGTTCCATATCAATACGTTGAATGATGTGTGTTACGGCACCACTCGAAAATATTGCCGTTCTGGAAGAAAGCCATCTCAATAGGCGTCTTAAAAGCGTTAACTCGATCACCAAAAAGGTAAGGTGATCACTTTCGTGGAGTTGTTGCAGGGTTTGCGAATTAGGATCGTAAAATGACGCGCAATATTGCTATTAGGGAATTAGCGCTCCATAATATAAGATGTATACCTTTATTGTAAATGGAGTGACAAGAACCAATCCTTCAGAAACCACGTATCTTTAGAATTCACTATTCCAAATGACTTAGAGTATTTCGTCGTAAATCCCACCAAAAAAACTTGGGACGTTACAGGTTCTGTCATCCTGTGTTGTACAAATCACCACTGTATACGCCCTAATTAGGATTTGTTCCATTTGCTTCAAGGTTTTTCTTGAACACGACACATCAGGCAAAACCTTCAATCAGTAAGATACTGAAGGTTTCCGGATTAATCTGATATTTGGGGAAAGGCAGTTTGACGTGATTCACAAATCTTACCGTTGGATGTTCGCTGAACAACAGGAAATTTTAAATTCATTTAAATCAGGTCTCTGGTTAAATTTGTTTACTGGTTACATTTTAAGAAATCATTCAGTCGGAACATGAGTTAATATTTGAGAACGCATGACTAACAGGCCATCTGTCCTCTGTTATTTTGTTGAACGGCTTATCTATTTTGAAATTCACAGTAGCATTCAGCGTTTAGCTACTGGGCTGAACATTGCATTTTCGCAAGGGCTCATCTATCGGGCTTAATTTGCACACATTCGCCATCCTCACGGGAAATAGATTTTTTTCCATTGTGAAAGCGAACAACTTGCCTATCATTTAGCTATACCAGTGACGACAATTCATTGGTTGAACCACTGCTTAGATATTGTTTTCACAAACATTTGACACACATACATTTGACACATACGTTTGACACTACGGTCACATTGTCGGCCGGGGATATTCATAGTTCGGTGGTGTACTTCTGTCTTCTAACGGGTGTGTGATGTTCCTGGAGGGCGATTCGTACAAAAGGCTAAATATTTAGGTCTGCTTGGTGAACAACATACTCTAGCAAGCATATCAAAGAGCTTGAATATATTTCTTTACATCTGTATTACATTTGGGCCTGTAGCTTTAAACTGTCTATGATTCCAGACACCGATTAACACATCCTAGGTGGGAACCGGCAATAACATCGCCAATGACGGCAACTAGAAGTCATGTCTCTCTGCGTTTACAATCAGGCAAATCAGGCCTGTCGCTGTCCCCATTCTGAAAAATGAACCATAACATAAACGCTAAGACTTTTGTAATCTCATTTACTCATTCTGGAACAAAATTTGACCACTTCTTACCTTGTGTAACTCCGAAATGTCCATAAGGTACAGCATTTTCTTTAAAAACGACGGTCCGGCATGTACAGTACATGATCTAACCGTTACAGATTTTATGTTTGATACATTCTTTTGCGTAAATCCTGTCTTACGACTAAAATCTTGGTTCCTGGTTGCCTTGAGGCCGATTTGTCGATGCTAAATTCAACTAAGATGGTGGTCGAAGATCCTAAGGGCTCTCAGTTCCGCCGTTTGAAAAAGCTAGGGGTCGCAGCCGTAGAGGTAAACGGCCCGTACTATAATTCGATACACGCAGACCTTGTGCTTCTTGAGATGCACACTACTGATAATTTACAATAAGTACACACCGGTTTTACACTGCGTTTCGGCTCTTCAGCGTAGACTGAAATCACCTGCACTTTGAAATCCCAACTGGAGATTCCTAAACACTCCATAAACTACTAACTCAGAAGAGAATCTGCGCCGTTTGGGTCATACTAATTAGGAACCCGACATACTTTTGTCCCTCACAGGATGCCAAGATTAAAAATGGCTACGATAATGACAAAACGCCTGATGCGCTATAAGGAGAAAGTAGTGAGAGTCGTTGAAACACAACCGGATTAAGATAGTTGTTTGCGCTACACTAGATTAGACAGTCATTTATGATTGACAGTGGTGAAATATCGTGCAGCATTTCACGATCCAATAGCAAAAATCCACATCTGCTTACCCACTGTAACATAGTATTCGTTGGAGCCTTTCTTGTTTGACTGGTTGTCGTGCACTGAACCACTGTTTTCCTCTTGACAAGATGTGTTGGCGTATTCGGCCTTTGCGACCATACCATCTTTGGATGCGACTGAACACAGGTGCTGAAATTGATCACTTGGAGCGGAACTGGTGCTGGTTGTGCAAGTATAAACACCACTATCAGTGAGTTTTGCTTCCGCAATGGTAAGCACCCATTTGTCTGGGGCTTTATACTGTATACGAATACGCTCATCGGGTGAAAATCGCCGGGTGCCGATTGTCAGAGGATAATCAAGGCCAAGTTTATTCCACATTACCTTGTGGTAGTAGGAAATCACAAACGAAAATATCACAGTCATCGTTTTTTCCCACGAAATAGTCACCTGTGATGATACCGACTTTTCGAGAGACGTTACTTGAACTAAAATTCTACATTGGACAAAGGTTTTGGCCTGGAAACAATTTTCGCAGTAGCAAAGAGCAAGCGGCAAGTTACCTAACACTTTACATGCAGTGGAGTTAGTGCTTACAGCACATCAAAATACATATTAAAAAACAACTTATGCGTTTCAAATTACGCAAGCCATTTGGCGAGGGCGCTTTGCGTCCAGATGCTATGGGACTATGGGTTTGGGACAGACCCATCTTATCCGCCGACACTACGCTGATGATCAAACTACCGGGATTAGATGTCAGCTGTGAGCAGTCTAAACAACAATTAGGAACAGGACTGAGTGATTTGGTTGGCTGGTCGTATTATCTCGAAACTGCTAGAAATTTGTTCTGCATCACCTCAGGTCAACGTCACAGTGGCTCATCTGGCAGCAGCGTTCCATGTTTTTCTAAACGTGAATTCTAATGTGACCTATCTGGTGATGGATTTTGTATATTCGCACGTTTCCGAGACGTAATTTTCTAATGGATGTAGTTTTTATAGACTAAGACCATGGGAACCCCCGGTTCATTCCGGAATTATTCTGTCTGTTATTGATTGTTTCCACGCTCAGGTAGAAGATAGCCGTTTTACTGCCATTTTTTTAAGGCTCCTTACCAGAAGAGGTATTACCTTCAATAAATATATTAGTTGACGTCTTAGCAAACAAGCATTTTGAAAATCAATCCTAATTTTCCCAAAAATTTCTTCTTCACTGCTCTTCACCAGTCAATCAATAAAACCACATCCGCATAACGCACTTATTCCAGGTACGAATTACTGCCAGCTGTAACTTTCATTTACCGTATTTTCAAGACCAGCCTCAAAGTTGCATTGATGAGTTTCTTCCTTGCAGCAACCACTGTGTGATATAATTTTGCAAGCCTTATAGCTGGATAATGTAGTCAAAATCTGTGGATATCGCAGTTTGTTGTTTACTTGTGTTCCAACTAGTATCGATAAAATTTGACCTCGCTTGACTGCTGAAATTCTGAAAAGCTCAAGCAAAATTACCTTCAATATGTTAGATGGATAGACCCTGTGTATACCGAGGTGATGACTAGGTGTGTTACAAAGATTTCCAAAGCATTGGGAAACAAAATAAACAGACTGAACGAAATTAACTGATGATTGCTTCCATGCTACATCGAGCACACTTCCTGGATTTGGAGATGTGGCGCACGTTGCAACTGACAGATTACCGCGTCTGCGTGATATGTACTCCAGTCAGTCGAAGCTGTTGCATTTTCGGAGCGCATTCTTACACTAGTAGTCCCTACATTATGTCTTCAAAAGCAATTCGTGACTTCTGGGAAAGTGACACATTAAAGAGTGTACTTGTACCTGCATCTCGTATAACTGCATCTCGCCTGCTTAAAACTGAATTTTATCGTCGCTATTCTGGCTTTTGGAACGAAACGCCGTTTCTGACAGAAAACTGAACCTCTCACGGTAAAAGAAATATGATAATCATTATCGGTGACCTCATTTGGAAGACCAAACATTAAACACAGAACTATTGTAGCACCAACCTTAGGGAGTCTGTACACATCCACTCTATCTTAAACTGTTGTAGTAATTTATATAGTCTCTCTTACCAGATAGGGCCCCCTCAAAATGCGACAGCGTAGGCGAATCGTTTCACCAGTATCGAATTTTACAAATCTTGGTGAAGTTTCCTCTGAGTTCCTCTGGTCCTTTTGCTTGTATCGAACACTGCTCCTTGTAGGTTTTTCTTTGATGGAATTTGGGCCATTAATCGCAGCCGGATTCCCGGTGGTCTGTAGCTTGTCGCTTATCAAAATATTTGAAGTTTTCAATGAAGGCAAATTGTAACCTGTGGAAGGTAGTGAATGTAAATGTAGATAACATAGGGCACAGGTGATCATTCTGGAATGAGAAATTCTGTCATACAAGTGCAACATGGATCATTGGATCAGTTAAGGATTAGAATCCTAATAAACGTCGAGTATCAAAATATAAATCGAATTTTCAATGGAAACTTGTTGTTTAAGATTCATCGTATTTTACGCTAACCGTCCGCTTATGAAAGGGTATGGTATTTGCAAAGTTCATTTTGTGAACGGTTTTGCCTCAGTTGAGGGGAATGAGTATTTGATTTTCTAAATCCTTCCAAGGTGACTCAGCGCCATTTATTTCACATTCGCTCCAAACTGAAAGTCAATTAATTGACAAAGTTCCGATTGACATACTTTGACGGCAGCTCGTAATCTTTTGGCAATAACACCTAATCCGGAAATTCGCTGCAAGCCATCCGCAAGTCGATCACAGAGACGCAGACTTCAGCGCAGGTCTTGTTCAATTTGATGTACCCCAAAAACATTCTGAGGAATCAACTCGGTAACTGGTCAGCTGACTTGCAATCATTGCGCCCATATAGCTTTAAAAGACCGGATGTTGGTGAGTGTCTCTGATCAATGGGGTTTGGAATGTATGTATACCAGCAAGCTTCTAGGTAAGCAGAGCTTAAAGCAAAAAGTGTAAGTCACAACTGATTGGTGGATTTCCGTTTTTCTCAGAAAAATGCAATAGCCAATGTGGGCAAACTATAAATGTACTAGACGGGTGAAATATCGATGAAAAAATGGCTGAGACATTGACTTCTATCCTACTTGAAGGTAATTCATTTTAGCATAATCTCGATATAAACCTGTCTATTTATTTTCAGCAATCGAAGTGGATATACTTTCTGGGGTTTAATACCCATGGACACAGAGCCGACATGCCGACAGAGCACTAGTTATTTCATAGAAAACTATCTGTCTTCCGCGGAGTCTGCCTTATGTTTATTCGGCCCCCAATTAGATATCTGAGTTGAAACTTCGTATTTGGCTAGTAAACCCTCGTGACCTTGCTATGGACCTTGCGCCTTGCTGCAAAATTACGTTCACTTAATTAATAGGTCATAGTGAAAAGCACGTCAAGCACATTTTTGTTGTATATTGCAATCACCTACAACTAAGCAATGTGTTTAGCAGGTTTCGAGTTCTGTGGAGCTATGTCGGAGGTCCTGACAGGCGGGCCAATCAACTGACTCAGCTAAGGTATGCAACCGGGTCATTGTTCGAGCCGTCGGGCTTAATAATCACATCAGATCTGTCAAGCGTGCGCTGGTGGAGTGGCGGTGACATGTTTGCCTCGCACGTCAGATGTGTAAGGGTCAAATCCCGCCAGTCAAGGATATGCGCCGCTGATGACCTCAACTAAGTGCAACCTCCTTTTCGTATGGATGCGCCAGGAAGATTGCGTTGGGCTAGAAGGATGACTGTCCAAACGAGAGTGATCCGAACACATATTCTACAAATCCCGCAACCACACACAACTATTGAAACGAATAGCTGTTGAATGGTTAATGGGTTTATAAAACATACATACACACCACATTCTTGCAAATGTTATAGTTCTGTTTTGGGGCAAGTATATTGATTCTTCGACATAAAAGCGTGAAACGTTTTTTGACTAATGCTGGTGCCATTGAGCGCGCAACCTTGGTGGGATTTAACCATGATTCCTTAAAAATCTCCACCCATTCATTCATTTCACACCATGGACAATCCTAAATTCCAATGTTGCTATGGAGAAATGTTTACAAGTTGGACAAAGGGAGATGTTTTAGGGCTAAAAAGCTAAGCATTGAGACATACGAGTACCTGTATTATGGATGTTGTAATGATTCCACTGTATCCGTAAAAAAACAATTCGTCTTACGAATCTCACACGGACAACAGGGTGTCATTTTACATTAGGTATCGACCTCAGGAGATCGGTTGTTTGAGGCCATCTGTTGAACTGATCAGTGGGAAACCTATTGGGTTGTAGTGTTACCGTGTTGCTGATAATCTACAAATCGTGGACGTTTGAAACAACCTTACCTTCTGCGCACCCATAGGCAACAGATATATTCAAACATAGTCGAAACGCTTTCAGCGTCCTACATAACGCTCAGCCCAGGCAATGAAAGCGCGCAGTCCAATTAGTCTAATAGAGAACCCCTAAAAGCAAGACTGCAAAACTTTACAGTAACCGATGAAGACTTTATGAATTTGCAACTTTTTTCGCTGTCGTCAGCCCATGTTCTAGTTCCAAGCGCAGCTTCTGTCGCAACCTGTCGTAACTCACCTGGAAAGATCAAATGTTTATATTTTCATCTATCATGAAGAACGTTTATCCCGTTTCTTCTAAGCACGAGAATAGACAGTAAGGTGTCCCCTCTTGTTTTAACCACCTGTTCCTCTCATACACGAAGCAATACTATATTTTCACCGGTCCTTGTTGGGTGCGCTTGTATGACATTAAATGTCCTTTTGTTACGACAAACTATGTAAATAAATTCAAATGTGAAATTGCACGTGCAAGCATTCCAAAACTGTTTTCAACTTATCATCCAACACTTGAATTCTTATAGGTACCGCACTAGTAAATGATACGTTCTTAATAGAGTGAAGATTATCCCCACGACCGATCGTTTCCGCTGTAAACTTTTACTTGCGTAAAATATCAAGTTTTCTTCTTTGCACGATATAAATGCTCCTTGTGGATCGTGATGAGTGAGACATTTTCGATCATTTATACCTTGTACCACACACAACACATTTTGATCCACACGTTCAACCAAGCAACATCTACTTAGAGACTGTTTTCTGCTTCATTGCAAAACTCCGCACAGCTCACTGAAGTTGATATAAACAGTCTGGTAACACAAGAGAATTCGGAAATCATCTTGACATTTGGAGCTACCCACTTACATACTAATTTTTAGATATTGGGCCATGCAAACCATCTAGTTGGATGATTCAATAGTATGCAGAATGTCGTTTTGCGAATATACAGTAAATCAAAACACTAGTCAGATTAGTCGAACTTCAATAGTTGCGTGTTGGGTGAATACTGTTGATCAAAAGCGGAAAACGTGGACATCCGAATATTCCTCTCGGCGTCAACACAAACCACACTTCTAGGCATGAAACTGACCACACAGAAAAGTGCAAATAATTACCACGCCTGCCAGGCTGTCCACTCCAGTTGCAATATTTTTTGCCTGATATGCCTCTTATCTAGTGAGCGGAAGTGCTTTGCACGTGAAAGTTTGCTTTTGAAATTGGGTATGCGCAGGGCTATTTGCTCACGTCCAACCTGGCTTATCATACATCGTCCGGGGTACCATGCTTGTTGGCTTGTTGACTAGTTTGTTTCCTGACCGACTGGTGTCTATTCGGCCCGGAGGTTCGAATCACCGAAATTACCTTTTTCAGTTACATTCTCCGTAAGCATTCTTTCTTCATATTCACGCCTCAATATACTGTAAAAGCAGACGGGTAGGCAACTTCCGACAAGTAAAAAGGACAGAGTGAGGCCATCGAACCTACGGTCTATGATATTTTATTTCCATTTCAATCTCCAAACCTTACGTGGTTGGTACTTTGGCATCCAGCAAAGAAGAAAAATCGCTTAAATTATGGCACTTCGAGAATAAGTTGATTCGGTGACATTAAGACCGACCATATCTACAAAATATGAAGATCGACGGATGACCAAACCTACAGCCAGTGCCCATAAGACCAAGAGACCGAGAAACAAAACTCGCACCTCGTACCTAGTCCACGGCAGATATGAAGCAAACCTAAAACTAAAAATCCAACTTAAAACCAACCAGTCGGTGGGAAAACCAACACGAAAGGTGACCAACTAGGCGAGATTGTTCTGGGTGACTAAGTCATAAATAAACCTATACAGACACTCAGCCACAGAATTTTATCCGCAGCGGAATTCCATCTACAAGGCTCTGATATTGTCACTTGAACTGATACCGAAAGGTCGACAAATAATTTAGGAAGCTAAGGGAATAATCGAATCATCATCGTCCAGGTGGATAAGGTCGTCACATCTTCGTTGGTGAGACCAACTGACAAATTGTCTCTTGCATCTCAGTTCCGTACATACGAATGTTGAACAAATTTGTCCACACACTAGTTAACCACATTATGCTCTCAAACGTTGTTTTTCACTAGTGAGGCTTCAATTGCTTTGGAGCAACTAAAACACATGGCAACATTGCAACGGACGGTAAATTAGTTTGAGAATATTAGCACAACTCATCTAATTATATTATTTCATTCAGACTTCATTATATGTCTCACATACCTGTTATGCATCATCAACCATTTACAAAAGCTGTCAGCTTGACAGGTGCATAAATAACATAGTTGAGTTGCACTCGAAGGCGGAGCTTTTACACTTGGAGAATCTACACAAAACCCACATCGAGTCACAGTCATACATGTCCCACCCAACGCAGCTTCTGGTGCTGGACGCCTTCTTTATTGGAAATACCTATTGAACAGCCAATAACTCGCTCCATAATTGCCTCGTTAGTGATTATCCGATACATGCCCACACAAGCTTTGCTTGAAACAACGCTTTCCAAACACCATAAGGCGCTTCTCGAACAGGCCAAGTCTCACAGCCATACAACAAAACAGTCCGTTCTGTAGACTTAACACCCGCCATAAGTGTCTCAAATTAGCAAGCGCGACTTCAAGATGTGTGTATTGTCCCCATCTGTCACACTACAAGTTGAACTATTGCAGCTTTCAAGTTACGTGAAACAATCCAGTGCCTCTCCCTGAATTATAAATGGCGTGTTCAGTGACTGTATATCCAGGTGCATGACCTTACACTTTGTGAGTGCAAAGTGTACGCCAAAGGATCGGAAAACTCTAGTCAGTTCATCCAAAATCATTCGTTGTTTTGAGACCTCCCATAGTTGGCTCATTAATCGGTCGATCACGAGATGTAATAGGAGCGGAGAGAGTGAGC